AATCTTCCATCACGACCCAAATTTCTATTCTCCCTTCGCTAGCGTTCCTCGTTGTTGGCCCGTATTACGTTTCATCCGTCGAACGTACCTCGGAAAATCCTGTAAACTTCAAATCTCTGAAACAACCTGCAAGTCGAATAAAACTTGCGATTCTTGCCACTAAGTGGATCCCGGCTACGAACTTTCTCGCTAGTCTCTACTCGATGAGCCGTGTAAATGTACCGAGCCATTTAAACATTCAAAAGCTTCGGAAGTTGCTTTTGCAAAGCGCTATTCAACGAAGCTTTGTCTATTGTTTCGTAAACGCGAGCAATGCTCCAAGTTCGTGCTTATACTTTTGCAAGTCCAATTATAATTAAGAATCCAACTCCGTGGCAAGGAAACAGTGATAAACAAAAAACTTTCGTTATCTTGCCTAATTAGTTGTTATTCCGTGAATTCGATATTTCCTTGCCGACGCGTCTGCTCGTTTATTTCATACGGACGGAGACTGTTTTCATTAAAGTTTCAAACGATCGACTCGACATCGTTGCTGTATTGCCTGCGTTTCCTGTAAACTTAACGAGCTTTCCATTCCAGCAGGGAAGGGGGCCGTAGTTGCACGATAATCGACAGAGAATTACGCTTTTTAACGGTTTAATGCAAACTGAACGAAAAAGAAAAATCTCGTTAGGAGGGACGGATATCGTACAATCAACCCTCTCCCTTCCGGGACTCCACGTATTGTCCCTGAGCTAAATTATTCTAGGATGAAAAATTTGTTTGCATAATTCGATTTTCTCGGCTCGGTTGCTGCATTATGCAGAGAAGCCTGCTTTCCATCGACGTTCAAGTACCGAAACGAAACGCGAGCCTACGACTACCGCAAATTTTACCTGTCTTTTGCATTTTCCGCGTAGCGAAACATTCTCGAGGCTCTTCGAATTTTTCCCCGACGACAGCATCGATAACGAAGCTCGCAGAGGAGAAACGTTTTTCGTGGTTCTATTAGAGAGGATCAGGTCCGACCAATATTCTCGGAGCAATACCCGATCGAGTTAAGGGCGTCTTTTAACTGACGGGAATTGCGTCGAAAATTTCCGAAATTTTTCCACGACGGAGGTTCACCGCTAATGCAATTCGATTCGATTTCGATTCGAAGGCTATCTGTCCTCGGATCATTTCTTTCGAGTCGAAATGAAAACGTTTAACGTAAGAAAAAATGTCCGTAAGAAACCCGGATCAAGGTGTATAAGAAAAGTCTACTCCGCGAACGAAATTGCCAGTACTTAACAGTAAATGTCCTTATAAGGAACTGTAATCCAGGCTTTTTAAGAATGAAGCTTTTCGTCTTTTTTAAATCGCGGCAAGAAAGTTTCCAGAACTCCTTGAGCTCTTTAAATCGAACTCTTCGTAGGTTTTACCTGAAAGTCAGTTTAAAGGAAGAAGAAATGAGCGAGCAGCGACTAACCGGTGTACTACATTTACCGAATATTTCACCTACTTCGAAGAATGAACTTTCTCGTTCTCTTTAGTGCAGCCTAGAAATTCTTGGAACGGCCCACGCATCGAAGAGAATTCCACGAATCTTTTTCATTGAGAACGAGGGAAAACGAGTTTATCGCGCGATATTGCCACACCTGAGAGGGTTAACGACACGGAAAGTTCCCCTTTCGACTAATTCTGCTGCAGCGGTGGTGTAATCACGCGACGAAAACGTCCCTAACTGCACGGAAACGTGGCAAGAATAAAAACCTGCTTCAGACCCTTAACAACCAACGATACTGGTATTAATAATTCCGTTTCCTTTTAATACGACCGAGCAACAGAGGTTTACGCAGAAAAGACTAATAAGAAATTCACGATGTTACGTTTAAAGTTGTAAATTCTTGCGTAAAAACCATGCTGCATTTCGCCGAAGATTACCGCTGTTACATCGTCCAAGAAATAGTCTCGAGACGTCTCTATCGTGGATCTTAACGTTCGAAAGCTTGTTAATCTCCGCGTACAATCTAACTGTTTTGCATTTTACTCGAAACGATTACCGCCATTGTGCCGTCCACAAATCTTTCGCGAGACAGTAATCTTCGTTATAGAGAAACATTTAATCGCAGCAAGTTATTTTCACTTTTCACTTATTTTCGCTTTAAAACTAAACCTGCTCGCGGAGGCAATCGTTGGGCAGCCGACTGGAAGAACAATTTTCCGATTACCCGTCTCGGCTAAAAATTCGGTTAAAATAGAGCGAAACAAAAGGAAAAAATGAAAAGGAGGGTCGATGAAATCTTACCTGACATCCGAATCCCGCAGACTCCGTTCGCCGTGAAGCTAACCCCCGGGAGGTGGTTCCAGCGTTGCAGATTTATCGTTCCGCCCGAGGTTCGAATTAGGGACGCACAATTAAACCCGGAAAATAATTCAGTCCGGGCTAATCGTGTCCGTGGATACCGTTCAATTCGAATGGGTATTTACTTAGCACAGAGAACGCTAACACTGCAGTCACCACCGACAATGGATGATCCTTAATTAACACGTTGATCCTACCGCTAACGTTACGTACATCCATGTGATCGTATTTAACACCCTTAGGTCAATAATTCACGAACGTGAAACGTAACCCGATACAAAACTGAACTTCCGAAACGAGTACACAGGAAGCACCTCTGCAGAAGAAAGTTTCTTCGGGATCGATATTCTTGATTCTTCGGAATTCGTCCTCGAGTTGATCCTTCCTTGAACAACGTCGAGCCGATTACGACACACGCGGACAAAGGAACAGACGAACGAGTTATCCGTCGACGAGATTCAGCTGGAAACGTATTCGCGAAGGATCTCCCGTAGGATGGATAGAATAATCTAGGCGATAAGCAATTTTAGACAGAACTTTGGATCCCTCGGAACGACGACGTCGGAGAAAAACGGATGAATTCCGAGAAGGAAAGCAGAGTTTACAGTTAACGAAGTTTACCAATGAAATTTCGAAACGATACCCGAGGATATCGATGCTCTCTACCCTCGATCGACCTTTTTGTACCGATGCTCGAACAGTTAATTGGACTTGGCCTAAGGAGGTTTTCGAATCCTCGATTCGTTTGCCGAGATTAACGCTGGAACATTTGGTTTCCGAAGGAGGAAGAGCACCACTCCGGAGGCAGAAGCTTCGATCCGTTCATCGGTTTCTCCTTGCGGGACAAAGCGCGGCCTCCAACTATGGAAGATTTTGCAAACGAACGGCTAGAAGTTTTTAATTAAGGTTTCGCTGTTACGATCAACGAGGAATTTGCAGAGTATCCTTGGTCCGTTCGTCGTAAAACAAGCTCGAATATCCTTCGGAAACTTTAATTCCTTTCTCCAACTGTCGAGCAACTATCTCGTTCGCAATTAATGTTTAACGAACGCGGGGATCGTTAGAGTCGGCTATCTCTGACGGACAACAAACTTGTGTCTCGACCTGAGAAACGACGACGAACGATGATCCGAATCTTAATAGATCGGTGCTAAGTAGCGCGATCTTGATCAATTCTCTAGTAATTAACGGCTGGACGATAACGATCGCGGTGGTTCGATAACGAAACGATTCGAAGGAAGAGCTTAACTGAATCGAAGGTCAGAGCAGATTCTTAAGGAGAAAACGCGGTACCTGTCAGCTCCCTTAGAGGAGCGTAAAGAGATCCTCCTACGGGTTACTTGGTACAAAGGAGAATTCCGCATTCCATCGGAATTTTCCGTGAATCGAGCGAATGTTTTTGTGCATTTGCAGATAAATTAGTTAATCGGCGAGAACACGCGGAGTTTGTGCGCAACCTTTGAGATCTTCTTCGCCGAGAGGAACTATCGATAATTTGATTCAGCCAACAGACGATACTTTGTCGAGAAAAAGTGGTTAATCACGGAAAACTCGACGACTCGTTACATATAGCCCAATAACTCTTTCACCGGAAGCCATCACGGCGTCTCGCTACCATCTCGGTGTTCGAAGAACGAGCATTCTTCGTGAAAAGGGATCGATCAACCGTTCAGAATGCCTAGTAACTTATCGCCCAATAACTCTTTCGTATTCCATCGTAAAATACCATCGTGACACAAAGTTTCTCCACATTCGAAAAGAAATAGACGTATCAACACTCGCGGACTTTCCGCATAATTTCTGCTTCCGATCGCGTAGAGAAGGTCATCGGTGGCTTCAGGAGCCGCTAACCCGAGGACGTCGCTAGCTGAATCTCGTCGAATGGAGGTTGGGAGTCGTTGTCGTCCCCCGGTGTTCTTTACGCGGGTTCTTGCCACTACTTCCGGCGACTCGTCGGGACGAAGAGGACAAGAATATATTCACCTGACACACGTGCACGGGCCGATCATCCGATGACTCGCGGAGAACGCGGAGAAAACGAAAGAGAGGAGAGACAGCGAGAAACAGGGAGAGAAGGAGAGAACTGGAGCCCTCGTCCTCGAGGACGCCGGGACGTGTTTCGCGGTTTGAGAGGAGCGACTGGTGCCGCCGCGTGGCCCCAAACCTCTGTTCCCTGTGGCGCGTGCGCTTCGCACACAACGGCACCCTCCGTCGCGACGCTACGCGACGCTTAGCGACGTTACGAAACGCGACGCGACGCCTGTCCTTCCTTTCGACGCTCACGCACCGTTCTTGCCTTCGTCCGATTGCCGTACGCGATCTGCGCCGTACTTGCACCTTGCCGAATTTGTTTTATCTTTTTTGCGAACGTAGACACCCGTGAAAAATAGGGAGACTGCTCCCAATGGGAATCGAAGCTTGCGTGGGAGTCCGCTATCTTATCCACTTCGCCACTGCCTACCCGCCGATGTCCTATGCTTCCTTTTATTATTGGATTTGGATAACTCGATGTCGGATAGATATTGGAACGTTAAACAGAATTTATGGATGTCTCTACAAATATTGCAGATATAAGAAATAGAGAAAATACCGGTTAGTAACGTTCGATCACGCGAGTGTATCGAACTGATTTCTTCGTCGGTGTACATATTCTATCGTTGCAACCCGGATTATGGAAGACTATTAAATGGTATCGTTATTCTGAACGGTGATAAGCTCCGCCATTTATTCTACCGACGTAATGCGGACCTTAGTATTTTACCGAAACCTCCCTCGATCGCTGAGGCTTTTTTCCGGCTAATACCAATGCGTTACCTTACTTTACAAACATGAACAAGACGGCTGAGTCTACCAGACAGTGCAGGTTCCTTTTGCCGGGGTTCTTTCGTGCAACTTAACAGTCATAAATTCTGTTCGAAGCGACAGAATGCACCGAAAGTAAATAAGGAAACGTAAAAGAGACGAGCGTTCCTTGGAATTGGAATTTGAGTCACCTCGGCTCTCGGCGTCGAACCAACGTCTCGAGTCAGCAGTGAATCTAAAGAGCGAATTAGAAAATCAAATGTAACGACTCCGAGATTCCCGGGAAGAAGAAACTGCATCAGGATATACGTCGAGCACGAAATTCTCCGAGAATTCGATTTGTGTACGGCTCGTTTTTAGCGAGTGTGTCTAGCGCGTCCAGCATGTGAGGTCTTTGATGCACAGTTCGGCCCAGTTTCAGCTTATTTTGAAGTCGATAGGAGGGTCTTTTGGATTGATGAATGGAGCCCGGCATGAATCGAGGCACGGCTAGCAGAATCTGGCTGAATAGCGAAGATGACGTTGAACCATGATTAATCCTGGCTTAGCCAATCCTTTAAGAACAATGAACTCGTGTGGTGATCGAACAAAAGTCCTAATTCGACTACTTCCTTTACCTATGTTTGCTTCTTCGAGCAATTACCTCCGATCGAGTTTACTGTTTCGAATTAATGGTGCAAGTTCGATGTAACTCGATTACTCGAATAAATTTGATTCACCGTTGATCCCACGTTAATCAAGCACATTCGTTATCGAAAACTTTAAGATCGGTTACCATCTTTTGAATGCTTCTAAATTTTAATGAATATTATTTTAATCTCTTGAAGAAAGTTTTCTGTTTGAGCATAACACTTTTGTCCAAAAATTCCGGAAGTTTGCCGCTACTCATTCCTTGCAGATTCCTTCGCGTCGAGGTGAAACGTAGCTAATGCATTCTCCATCTTTCCATCACCGATTCCATCTACTCGGATTCGCTCCCTTTATCGCTCCGATTGCCTCGGTGTCTCGGTTCCATCGCTCTCGCATTTCTCGTCATCTTTGCAATCACCGCCGAAACACATCGGCAACTTTTTCTCCTGACGCTTACACGGCACCCTTTCCGGCATAGCGTCTGATAAGAAGAAAATTCGGAGTCGTAAGAACGCGAGAGAAAATTCGCGAGTTTGCAAACTAGTTTGACGTACACCAGGCTCTCATTATATTGCCACCATTGATGAAACGAAGGCATTGACCTTTTTGTTCCCCCATGGCAATATAACGAGGACCCTTCGCGTTAAAAACAAGGTCCAAAATTTTTGTAAAACTCGAAGCTCACCCATCATTTGGTAGGGCATTGCCGTCATTGGAGCAGGTTGGCCATAACCGTACCCGTATCCGTAGCTGGTCGAGGGTTTATCGCGAACTTGGGCAGTGGTATCGGATCCTGACGAGCAGCAGTTTCCAATTCGATCGCAGCAGCCACCGTCGCAGCAACTTCGTCTCCAAGAACAACACCCGTTGTCGCTGGCGCTGCTCCTTCGCTCCTGAATCCTTCTGCGAATAGCGAACGAATTTTGTTACCCGGCAACGAATTTCGCTGGAGGAACTCGTAAATTCGAAGGTGTCTCACGGTGTTATATCGTGAATTATCGGGGCACTTTTCTCGTAAAATCGATCCGGTCCATCGAGTAACGGCTTGAAGGTTCTGAAAGCGTAGCAGTGATTTATGATTTGATTAAGCCTTTGATTAAAACGTGGCCCAACGATAATACGTACTTGCAATGATCGCACATGATACTTGAGAAATTTGGAGATTGCCGAGAACCGGATGACAAACGCGACAGACGACTTTCAGAATTATCGACCGCGTATAAAACAAAATAGCGTCGAGTAAGGTTAAGATCACTCGTCGATGGCTAATGGCATTTTTTACGGTTCGCGTTTCGATTGTTCGGAATGCGGAAAATTGTGAAATAATTCGAACGTCGTGGTATTCGATAAAGAACACGGGCTTAAATGTTACGAAGGGTTTTATTCGTGAAAGTTAGGAGATTACAAAAGTTTCATTGACAGAAGTTCTTTGGTTTTCCAATTAATTTTATTTCCGTTCGGCGCAACATTTTGGAGGAGAGTCCGGTTGCTTCGCCTTCCCGTTCTTATCTTTGCAACAACCGGACATGCAGCAACCACCGGCCGTCTCTCGTGCTCTACAAAACAATTACAATTTGCGTAGTACAGTGTCCGGGTAGAAAAATGAAATTCCTTCGACCTGTTAAACTTTGAATCCTTTTTGCAAGCCTGCATATACCTATATGGCCGCCGAGTTCGAAACTTAAGATATAATGTTTACCCGTTGCTCGGTCCCCTGTTTGACGTTCTTTTACGGCATCCTTAGGTAAGAAACTCGATTAGTGTTCGCAGCAACTTTTCGGTTCCTTGGCTGCACCTCCGGTACAACATCCGCCGACTTCCTGCGTTCCAGAGCAGCATTTAGAGCCACAACATCCGCCAACTGTTTTTTTCTCTCTGCACAATTCAGTCGAGCAATTCGGTTAACCCTTGAATGCACCGTCTCTTTCATACGAATCTAAAGTAAACCATTGTTGTTTTTCCTCGAAATCCGATTAGGTTACGCTTGTTAAGGGCGAGAGCGGAGCGTATTTTTTTTTTGTCGAACGCTGGCGGCCATATAGGTGCTCGAAACAGAGGGAAATATTTGATAAATTAACGCGATGACTGACACGGTGGAAATAGCCGTGTGCGGCACAACACGCGACGATATCGATCATAAAAAGTATTAACGCGTTAAATACCAGTGAATCGAAGCACGATGATACGCTAATTACCGATCGGTTAATTCTCTAATTGAAATTTGCAAAATTTAGCGATACAGTGTACTTATCCGTATACTCTAAGGATCATACTTTCTCGAGCAACATCCTCCGAAGTCCTTGGATTCGCTGTCCTTCTTCTCGCCGCTGAAATACGAATATTATGTATATTCTCCAGGAATAATCCGACGTTGAAAGAAAGCATGAAATTATTCGCAATTTATAGAAAATGCACTCACTGTTCGCATTTGCAAGTCACTTGTCCCGCGTACCCTTTCTGGCTGGTAACTTTTCTACGAAAGGAAAATCACAATTTCATAGATTCGATTGCTGGTTAAGGTAGTGTTATTTGAAACTTACGCGCAATGATCGCACATGTCGAGTGATCTCTGATACTTGAAGTCACGAAGAAAATTTGGAAATTTTGAAGGTTTACCGAATAATGTTCAGTCGATCAAATATTGACACGAACAAACGTATCGTCGTAGCGATCGTCGATTATTGTTTTGCGCCGGCAGTTCTTTTACCAGTTAGAAACCGCTCGATTTCGATACGCGGATATCTGTCATTCGATGAGTTTAACGTCAAACAGCGGTGAATTGTTATTGCAATGTAAATACGGGGAAATTTTACGGACAGCGTGCGTTACTGTTCGATTACGAGATAATCGTGATAAACGTCGATGTTGCCGACAGATAGAATGTAAATAGATATTAACGACATAAAGTCTTGACAAAATTCGCGCTCTTTTAATAACCACCTTTGACTTCGTAAATAAAATTAATTCGAGTAAATAGATTCGAGTAAACGTTGAAAGAAGAGAAAGAGCATCGCGTCGAATCAATTTTGACCAAGGACCATATTCTCGCGACTCCAGTACGCGAACCAGCTTCGGAATAGTTTTCGAAGGACCGTGTGCGACGAACACGTGTGTGCCGCGTCCTATATACGCCAATATGAACATTTTCGAACAGCTGACTGCCACGGCTCCGGCTGTGGTAACCAGGTCACGAGGTTGATCCTGTATTTTGTTACAAGTCGCCCGTCTTCGAGTCGATAGCGGTGATACTTTCTTTCCCCCGGTGAATTCGCGAAAGAAAATCGCTTTTTCCTAAGCTGACGAAATTCTCAGGGTTTATCGCTTGGCTTCTTTATAACTTTCCGCGGCACGATGCGTTTCGGACACGCGGTAATTGCGCGGAGTAACTAAATTGTCAAATATCAATCAATCGGCTGTCGAAGCGTTAATCGAGTCGGACATCGATTTTGATTTCGCGCAATTTGTTCGACGTTATCTCTTTATTCCCGACTGAAACACCTTCCATTGTAGCGTGACTAACGTTAGTAGATTTCAATGCGATAGGTTATAGCGTTACCACCTTACCCCGTGATTTATGCGGCAATAGAACACTCTGAAATTAGTTATCTACCGTTTCGGTACAAACGAGGTAAATTGAAATATTATGCACATTTTTTAATCGGGGACATTCCGCTTCGCGAATGACAGTAGGAATTTTAATTAAAATTTAATTATTCCGACATCATTTATTTTATTCCCATTGAGGCTATCATTTGTCACGCGAATATGGCCGCCCGTTATAATCGGGTATAACGGTGTTCTACATCCCTCGATGCTACCCCTTCTCGTCCTTAGATTCTCCCTTATCGTTATCCCAAATTGGGAACAGGTGGGTCCAGCCGTTCATGAAAACCCTAATTAAACAGATACCTAACTCGGACTTAATAAAGCAATCGCTCATCGAATCTTTGCCCGTGAAATTAAACGATTTAACCTTTGCCCGAAAGAATAATCTGAACGGTCGGAATAAGAAATGCCATCGTGACATAGAACAGCGTTGAATGGTGACCAACCTTACGGAACGTGTCTTTTCTTGAATCGTCGAGAACGAGTAGATCGTAATATTGGATGGGTACTGCTCTATAGCATAAGCAAACTCGCGATTCTGGCGCAGTATAAATCTTCGTTCGACCTTTCCTGTCGTTTTCACGTGCACTGCGGCTGCTGCACTTTTACGGCGATCCATTGAAAACGAAGTACCTTTCTTCTTTCCATTTCTCCTACTCCGTGTTATCAATGAATTAATACCTTCCTCGGGAATCTATGAAACCGAATACGATCACAGAACCACATTCTGATCTCGTCGATTATTTTCTACGTTTTAATACGAACAACCGGATAATCGTCTGTCTGTTTTCGCTTCCGTCAGAGAATCCGTACATCGATTACGATCGTCAATGGCCGGAGTGCAAATAGCGTCTTAGCGAAACGTAAGAGCATCTTGGAAATAAAAATTAAACACGGTAATCGCGGCAGGATTAGATGGCTGGTCGGTAGTTAAAGACGACGGCTTAATGAGACGTGGTCCCTTCATTAATAAAGTTTAAATTGACCGCTGTAGCGGAGAAAAATCGTCAGTCAGTTAATTACCGGCCCGATAAAAGGGCACTCGAGTCCAGCGAGATTGAGAAAGTTCCCATACAACCAGGAGAATTTCATTTTCTCTCTTCGGTTTCCCTTGCCGATTTTCGACCCGGCCTAACGATCAATTATGTCTCGGAACAAATGTGATCCGTCCGAATGTAGATCAGGGTTAAACACAACTGCTCGCTTCATCTGTTTTACTCACGCGTAAAAGTTTCGTCGATATTCTCACTGAAAAATGGTTTTTGAAAATTGCGTATCTTGAACGGTACACGATTACGACAAGGTACCAGCAAGTAATAACCTGATTGTTACTTTTTTTTTTTAAAGTCGTCAAATTTAATGAAATTCTTTACTTTTCTTTTTCCCTTTGATTTGAAAAGGTTTGAAATACGCTCGAAAGCGCTCACACAGACGTATCGTCGCCGCACAATCGACCAAATACCAACTGACTAAAAAGTGCGAACACATTGTTGGAAAGGCGCCAGGTAACGCCACTAGGCCAGATTACCTCCACCAATGTCCTAAATATTACGTTCCTTTCTGGTCGGTAATAAATTTGTCTCGTTTATTCATTCTCTTTAGTTGTTCACGATCGGAGCGTTCAATTATTTGTCGGTCGAATAAAATTTTTCCCGCATTTAGCCGTCGGAAATGACGACTTTTTGACCATCTGCTGGACACGTAGCGCTGCGCTCCTGTCTTATCGATTACTGACCAACTATGAATTATTACCCGACCGTTTCGTATCTTTTTAACAAAGCGCAAACCACCGAACAATTACTCGTGCAAAGTCCATTGAAGCTACTAGAGAGGCCAATGTTGATTTAGGGAACATTTAACCGAAACAGAGCGGAATCTCTTTATTGCTTCGCTATACGAAGGTACACCGTATTAAAAATTCGACTTTTCCTAGCAAATATTCTCGAACGATCGTGACGTTCATCGGCTACGAGCAACAGCAGCACCTTGAGCAGCTGTAGAGTTTCACGGTTCGAAATTCCCGAAGGACCTCGATACACGATCTTTCAAATATTGGATCACCGATTCCCTTTGAATCGGGGATTATTTCGCCACTCTGTAAACATTGATCCACCTTAATCGGTACGCTGCCCGACAAAATCTTCGTCAATGTTTGCTAACCACAATTCACCAAGCTCCAGCGAAAAAGAACCTCGAAAATTATTCGCGAGTTCAGCTAGAAGCTTCAATGTTTTTCGAAGATAGCCTGGTCAATGTAAAGAGACTCTTTGCAGAGTCCGGCGAGACCATTAAAAACATTAGCGATTAATCTATGCAACCGCTTTCATGGAATTTTAAGTACCGTTTTACCATACTGCGATCGATACAACCTAACGTTACGAGATATCGATCTTTTCAAACATATTCCTATTCAAACTTTTCTTCCGATTCATGATTTACCCGAGACGAATCCCTGCATCGCTAATTCGTTTCGCGCGTTTTTAACGACGGATGCAAAACAGAAGTCGGTGGTTGGAAGTTTCCGCACTCTCACGGCCAACGACAGAGACATGCGAACCGTCGAGGAAGCTACGTCATCGGCAACTACCGCTATACGTAACTCTAGACAGAGACGAGCGTTGAATTTTTCTCGTGAGGGACTCGGGAAGGGGGAGAGATATTTATTTGCCGACTATCGAGACAAAAGGATAACGAAGCAGGTTACGAAACGAGGAATGACCAATCAGGAACGTTCCGTTCTCTCGATAGCTGTGTACCGAGCTGGAAAATTCGGTGGAACTCGGATTAAACGACGAGCCGAGGATTAGCGGGCTAAATCCACCCCTTAGATCACAGAGTTACCTCGCCACCTAACTGTCTTCTTCGTTCTACTGGTTTAATAACGGGTGTTTTGTAAAGCGGACACGAGATACACCTTGCTAGTCACCCAGATAAACTTTTTCGAGGGATCTTCGACTCTCCCCGTTCATCCCCTGATGTACACCTCGTTGTCCTTTTTGAACACCTTAATAAGACACCGTACCTTAATTTGAAGGCACTAGTAATAGAATTAATTGATAGGTCCACTTCTTAAACGCTTTAAGTGAAATTATCTAGAACGAGTAAAAAATACATACAAAAATGTTTCTGTAATGGAAAAGAGTGTTGAAGCAAGTGATTTCCGCTAAAATTTCGTGTGTTACTTTATAGCAGTGTATAGAAGTTTAACTGCCCTTAGGATAGCCGATGATCGATTGCAGACGCTATCAAACAAATAAAAACAGGAAAGAGGCGGAGACTTTGAAATACCGTTATAATCTATCATAGCACATTGAATTTTTATGATAAAATTTATTTTGCTTTCAACTTTTATCGCCGTTTCAGACATACTACTCGCGTGCGTTATCTCCTTTCGTCGCCAACGTATAAGTTTACTCGACGAAAAGTAAAACGCACCAAATGATCTAAAGTAGAAAATTGCTTCCTAAACGGATCAGCGTTAAACATTGTCTTATGTCTCGGGAGATTGGCACGAATGCATCCGTTGAAAGGGGATTTAAAAAATACACCGCTGAAACACGGATACAAAAGCCTTCTCTTGAAATGAACAATCAAATTGACGCGTTGAAAGCTCAAACAGAGAAGAAACAAAAGGACCAGTCGAGTGGGATGCATCATTATATGGTTCGTCGTTCGTTCGCCACTTCCCTTATTTAGCCTTCTCGCTTTTCGCCATTTGCTACACCTCCTCGTCAACACCACTTTTTCTTCGTTTTTTCCCAACCTTCTCACCCTTGCTCTTTCTCCTACGCGTACCGTTCCTCTCCCTCGGCGTGTTATTTGCTCTCTCGCCACCACCCTCGGCACAACTCCCCCCGCTCTCTTTTCCGTCCGTGCGGGAGAGCTTAGAGATTGTTTTAATACCCCGATGGGCAGAACTGTGACCTAGTTCCACGACGTTGAATATAGACACGACCTAAGCTACGTTTTCAGAAGTCGACTAAAGGCACGCGCACCACCCTCGCCGAAGAAACCAGCCAGAGACTTACTTCCCCGTCGAGCGCCGCGAGCAGATCTTTCCTCCAATTAATTCCAATTAATTAATTAGAATAGTTTTCGGTAAATTTTAGAGGAACCGACAAGGTACTTGCACGATGAGAGGATGAAGAGCCTTTGTTACGATGTCCGACAGTTAATGATTACCTGTCGAATCTTCTATAAATGTAAAATTTAATGTTACTGATAGCCGAAATACAATACATTATTTTACTACTACGAATGTAACAATAGAGTTATAAGGAAGAATCTGTCAAATACATCGTTAGGTTTGCCAAGTTTGAAACAGATTGAACGTCGACGAACAACAAGTTTCCCGCGCTGCACAGTTACGAGCAAAAAGAAAGGAAAATTGCAAATTGACGGAAGCTAATTTCCGCAGGATGTCTGGTCCAAAATTCTGCCCGTCTGAAGTTTCTCTCGATCGATTCGGTTCAGTCGGTGCACCGAAGAATACGAGCTCGACGAAAGCGTCGTGCAACGAAACTTCGGTCGCCATTACGCGATACTCGTATCAAAGCGATGATTTTACCCTATTCAATGTTTCGGTTTGTATCCGATTCCGTGGTCATACAAATGTTGCTTTTCTTTATTTCTCGGTTGCAAAGCGGTACAGTATCGTCCAGGGTTCGTCTTATTCTTGAAACTCGAGTGGCTTTACGGTGAAGTGCGCTCTAGATGAAAGGGACGCTATGTAAAATCTGCAACACGAGACACGGAATTCATCCGACGAACCAGAAAGATCGTGGTCTCGTTCTTTCGCATTCAAATCCACCTACCTCTGGATGATGTTCAACGTAACACTTGGCGATTTGAAAGGCTTTGTCGCAAGAATCGGTCCCGCCTGAAAACGGAAAAGATGTTTTCCTGACGAAACGAGCAAAATATTAGGTCGCGACTTTCTACGTTCACATTTTTCATGGGATATTCTTTTTTAACGAGTAATGTACTTGGCAGATAAATCTGCGACCTTCTCGCGTATTTTTCTTCGAAATAAGGTAAATAAGGTAAAAATTCTTCGAGCTGAATACATTGGGTGAGCTATGTACAAGATTTCCTCCTTTAAAATGACGAATCTCGTAAAGTTCGTCACTGTTCAACGCGACAAAAACTTTCGACGGCATAAAATCCTGACAAATACCGATTTTTTACACTCACGGACTGACTTGCACGTGTTAAACAACTTTCTCGAAGAATCCTGCAAGCTTCGTGGCAGATGTCGAAGGGCTCTTTGCACATTTATCTCGCCGTTACCGTTCAGAATACCGTTCCTCGCCATAAAACACTTCAGGTAGCACTTCAATCTCGGGTCGTCTTGTTCGAAGTCCCCGGACTTCATTCTTCTTAACGCGGCTGAAACAGATTGAACAAAGGAGAAAAAAAGATTTCCTCGTCATCGATCTCTTTCGATCGCGAACGTTCGACCGAACGTACCCCATGTAACTCTCGACTCCTTGCGGCAATCCTTTCTGATATCTGCTTCGCCGGGATCCTGAGGCAAACCGATCTTTGTGAGCGAAATTAACGATATTTATGTAAATACAAAATAATCTCGCGATAACACTGTCTGAACGATAAAGAGAAACGTTCTTTTGAAAATAGCTGGGTTCAAAATACAAAGCGAATATTCTACGCGTTCATATTTTAACTTAAACTATCAACTCTAACTCCGTATACAGAGAGCTATACGTATGGAATAATGTTCGGTTAGCAGATTTGAGATCCGAGAGATTGCTTGGTCTAGTCTCTATAAACTATTGGGATAGTTTGTAAATTCGACTGAAATTACTTGGTGAGGACTGACACGTAACTCACCAATAAAATTAGAACAATCGTCAGGACGAGGATTAATTGACAACTCCGGAACATTCTTGGTACCAAATTGCTGGTCTCGGAAGGAACCTGATTCTAACACGGAGGTATATACCAGCATTTCAACCGGTAGTTTATCGATCTGTTGTTTAAACTTTCGCACTAAAAGTCAAGATTACAGTGGTTAATGTTTCAGTGATTAATCGGAACAGCGGACGCATAACACTGATAACGAGTCACCAGCAGACCAACTTTTGTACGGGACACTCATACAATTGAATAAATAATGAGTAATCTACCGAAACAAATGCTGTGTATAATTATATTTTATTCGCATAAAAAAGCTGGGCTGCCAAAAATGAATGTTATACTATGTAGTTATACTACAATGTTATACTACGTAAAAATAAACTTTTACGGAACAAGAAAATTCGATTGTGATTACCGACCGAACACGTGGCGTCCAGTAACAAAAACGAGTCAGTCCCCTTAAATATGCGATGCTTCTCAGAAGCGACAACGTATGCGTTCTTTGATACTTTCCGACAAGGGGAAGAGATCGCCTTTCAACTTAGCCGAACGGGGAAGATCAGCTCGTCCTTCGAGTCAGTTTTCTTCGATACGTCATCGAAGGTGGACCATCGTACGCATAAAATATACATCGATACTACGTTTCACGATTCTTCAGCAATAATCTGCATATTTTTTACAATTAAGCTAATTAGTTTAAAGTAACCCCGTACTGGATGTAATAAATTAACTCGGACTATTAATTACGCGATAAGGAAACAGAAATCTCGTTCATAACTGTACGTCGTCGAGTCAACATTGCTTTAGTTTTCTTGTCAGTAACGTTTACGAAAAGGAAGAATCGTCATGACCGAATGCAACGACGAGTTGTTCAAGTGTTGCAATCCGTATCACAAGAATGTTCGAAACTTTCGCAAGCAAGTTCGATACAAGATGAAGAAAATAGTGGAAGGCAAGGCGCAGTTAAAAGATAATTTGTGCAAGGTTTGTCAGTGGATAATCGTGAAGAACGACGACATTTATAATATTGATGACATATTAAATCATAACGCCGATACGTATGGCTGTTCGATGGAACAGAAGTGTTCTATCGATAAATCGCGAATGACTGCCAAGGCCAGTGGCATGATATGCGTGGAGAAAACAACGAACACGTGTTTTGTAATGAATACGCGGAAACGCATTACTTCCTGTCAGGTAAATAATTATGTTCATTTATTTATACAATGCTTTTCTATTCTATTTGTGTCGCATTGAAATCAATAAATAATGTAAAAATTGGAAATTTATTCATAGACGGAGAACGCATTATTGACATGGTTGAAGAAGTGCGCAGATATCTCGCCATTATGTTTTACTGCGTTTGATAGTAAATCGGCTCGGTTGAAAAGAATTAATAAAGGTAAACGCTATATATTATTCGAGACATCGTTCGAAAACGATTTAAAGCATCGTTTGTTTTTACAAGCGTTATTAAAGCGTCGTATAAAAATTGAGGAAAAATTTGATGGCGGGAGGTGCGAAGGAGAAATGGTGGGGTAAGCGGAACGGCGACAACGCTTAGAGCTTCCTTGATTATCGCGCAACACTATTTTTGGACATTCTTAGGAAGGATTAGGAGCATGAAAACGAGATGTATATGCATTCGAGTGCCTCTGTCTTTATTGCGCCTTCAACTTTTTGCGCATCGTTACCCTGATTCTAGCAGAAGAGGCTCCTCGCTTTTAAAATCGACTCCCCGCGCCAGTTTCACTCGCGATGCGCAGTATTCTGCGCAGTAAACAATCTGCGCCTGCTAGGTGCAAGGTGTATCGCCGCGGTAGATTGATTGGAATGTACGACGGTCATACATATCTTTTTATCGTTTTTCGCCGACTCTCTTCCCGTATATCGCGAACGAAAAAACTCCGTGGAAAATTTTAATGGAATCCGACGCGTTCAATTAAGGTTATGTTCGAGGCTGTGAAAAAACAGCAGTAGTGGCGCTGCGGACATCGAGATACGAGTATAATTAAAATCAATGTAACAGTGCGGTGTTTCGAGAGACAGACTTCCTGAGTGCATTTTTTCAGCTGGGTTTGTTTGCACGGGAAATGTCGAACGGATTAAAAATGTTGAACAATGATAAGACCACCAACGAAACAAGTATAACATTCTTCGTACATCGATTTCTTTTATTACAGCATCGTGCATAAGCGGCTTATACATATACATTTGTATTTCTTTTTTTTTGTTTTTCGTTTTCCTTAGACTGCAACACATCCATGATCTGTACCACTACCACCACTGCATCTCCTACAGAGGGATTGCAGGAAACACACTTGACAGGGGTAAGACTCAGTTAATTAAGGTTATTTTTGGAATGGAAATCCTGTTTCGGTATCACAGGTAATAATATCTTTTATTCTTCGCAGATGGAGCAACGAAATGTCTTAAGGCCCATACTGAAAAGGTCTCTGGAATCGGATTCCGAAGGTCAGTGGCTGATGCTCTGTGTTTCTGTGATTCTATCGAGCAATACTTAGTTGATAAGCATGCACGTATTAAAACTGATTGTTTGATAGAAGCAGAACACGGATCGCCTTATAAGTCTGAAAGGTTTAAGTTCTTTCGAGCTAAAGAGTGGCTTTTGCAAAGCATCGAATGTATTGATCTATTATTTGTTTTCTTTCATCAGGTGTCACCAGTGTAAAAAAACGTCACAAGAACCCACAGCCAAAGAACGCGGTATGCGCGTTGAACGAATTAAAAACCGGTGCCGTATATAAAGTAGTGGAACAGACAGGTCCTACTCATGCTCCAATATTTACGATAGCCGTACAGATCGATGGACAAACGTACGAGGGCAAAGGTCGTACTAAAAAAATGGCAAAACACGCTGCCGCTGAGCTCGCTTTGCGAAACATTATTCAATTCAGAAATACACCGGAAGTTCATCAAGCGATCAACACTTGCCAACCTTCGATACCCCTCGAACCAGATTTTACGAGCGACGTTACGGAACGAGATAATCATCTAGTCAACGCTTTTAAGACTCTAACACAAGAGCCAAAAAGTACAAGCAAATTTTTAGAAAAAGGACCTGTAGCGCTCATTAATGAATTGTATCCGGGTGTTGTGTACAAATGCGTATCGGATAACGGAGAAAGTTATGCAAAATTTACAATATCGGTGACCATCGACGGAGAAACGTTCGAAGGAACTGGGCCAAGTAAAAAGCTAGCTAAAGCTGCCGCCAGTAAAGCGGCATTAGCTAAATTGAGGAACGTTCATAGTTCTTCGTTCTGCATACCGCTTCCTGTACGCGTCTTACCAAATTTTTCAAACAGTGGTGGGCACTGGCAAGAACAGATGTCGTTACCTCAAATGTTAGCCGACAAGATTGGTAAGATGGTGAATCAAAAGTTCAGTGAACTTATTCAGTCTAAGCCGCAGCACGCTCGACGTAAGGTTTTGGCAGGTATTGTCCAGACAAAAGGTTCGGAAGCGGAATTGATATGCGTAACGACCGGTGAGGAATAATTTTCACGCATGTTTTATATTGCTATGACACTCGAGACCCGTAAAACCTTGACGATAATTGTATGTTTTGAACAAAAGGTACCAAGTGCGTTTCCGGAGAACACTTGAGCGTCAGCGGTGGTGCATTAAACGATTGCCACGCGGAAGTAGTAGCAAGGAGATGTTTATGCGAATATTTATATAAACAGTTAGAACTTCACGCGGAAGATCGCCCGACGGAATCGATTTTAGAACGCATGAAAAAGGGGTTCAAACTGAGGCAAGGCATTCAATTCCATTTATACATAAATACCGCTCCATGCGGTGATGCCAGGATTTTTTCGCCTCACGAGGAAAACGAGTCCGTCGACAAACATCCGAATAGGAGAGCCAGAGGTCAATTGAGAACCAAAATAGAATCTGGAGAGGGCACGATACCGGTGAAAAGCAGCGAAGGTATCCAAACGTGGGACGGCGTACTCATGGTACGCGATCAGTGTTACGCGCAATGAAAAAATAATTTCTTTCGGATCAAATTTTTTTATGCAAGTATTCAAACATACAAACGTTTAATTTACCTTGTAGGGCCAAAGACTGCTGACGATGTCGTGTTCGGACAAAATAGCTCGGTGGAACGTTCTTGGTGTGCAAGGTGCACTTCTAAGCCACTTCATCGAGCCAATTTACTTCCACAGCATCGTTCTTGGCAGTCTATTGAACCCAAGTCATATGTATAGAGCTGTGTGCGGCCGTATCGAAAATACGATTCAAGGTCTACCACCACCATACAGACTTAACAAACCGCTAATGAGCCTTATCACGTCTTCCGAAGTGAGACAACCCGGGAAAGCGCCTAATTACAGCGTTAATTGGACAATCGGTATGTGGCAATCGAAGAATCGTTTAAAAAACGTTTATTAGAATTTGATCCGTTCTTTTAGGTCAAACCGAAGCCGAAGTGATAAATTGTACGACGGGAAAGGACGAGTTGGGCAAGCCATCCAGAATATCGAAGCAAGGGCTCTTCAGAAGGTTTTACAATTTACTCGGTAAACTGGAAACTATCGACGACGCTGACAAGAATCAGTGCCGTCATTATTTAGAGGCGAAATCATCCGTACAAAATTATTCGGTAAGTTCTCCTGGATATTCTCGTTCTCCGTTGTGTACAAATTGCGGCGATTATTATTTCTGTTCAATTTTTCTATGCAACAGCTTGCCAAGCATCAGTTGAAGGAAGCTTTTGTAAAGGCACATCTTGGGAGTTGGGTTAAAAAACCAATCGAACAAGATATGTTTGAGGTTGATATCTGACTAAGTCAGAGTAACGATAAGATCTCGCCAGACGAGACAGACTATCGGGTGGCAGATTACGTAGTTCCTACTGCAAACTAGATCGCTCGTTCAGCGTGTTATGATATGGCAGAATGCGGCATCAGTAAAGCATAAATCGTAGGATCTCACATGCAGGTCTGCTACTGCTGTTGTTTGACTTTGCATCGAGTGCGATCTTGTCGTATATACATCGTGTTCAGAGTGTATAAAAAGAAAAAAGACAAGTCCCTTCCTATTTTCAGGAGGATATTTTGTCTTCGAGCCGTCGAAGGTTTTACGATTCGATAGTTGCTCAGTTTTAAATATAGGACTTAAACGTAACACTTTCGATACTTCGAATTTTAATCTTAATCTATCATAGTACGACGTCAATTTCGACCATTTTTTTTATAGAACTAGTCGCGACTGTGAATACGAAAGAAAGAACGGGATAGATCTTTTCGTTTCCTAAGCAACACGTAGCGAATACGTCAACTTACGTTTGCTTCTATCGTTATCGGAATCGACAAATTTTTACCACGAATTAATTCGATACATATCCATCGGTCGATCTTACTATCAAAACAAATTCTCGTAGTAATATTTTAACGTAAAATACCCTGATGTGTATCAAGTTGCTCGTACAAGAGAAGATTAAAATCGAAATAACGCGTCGAGATTTGCCTCGTGCCTGCAGTATTTTTTCCTAAGCTAATTTAGATATAATAGCAACGATAACAACGCGCGTCAAGTTACATCCCTAAAGGCTGTGACACCGAGTATATTAGAATTGGCGTGCAAAATTATGATACGCGTACTTCGCTGCGAAGCTCGACGAAAAGTGAGACAGGAATCGGTTGCTTGTCGGCGCGATGCAATCTGTTCATAACTCGTTTTCATTTATGTTTTTTTTTTTTCTTTTAACACGATAACGTAGCGTTATATTAGTTTCTATGGAATTATTGGAAAAGAATCAGCCCTCGACAGTTCGATGTTGTTATCACGTTATTTTGATTAAGGAGCAAATGAGATAGGGTATGCATGACTCGAAGAATAATTAGCGTGCGAGTATGAATCCGATAGATGAATGTAGAAGTACGTTATTATTATTAATAGCTTAGAGAGTCCTAAGATCATTGCCTCACTGTGCCAGTATTATAACAATTAATGCAATTCTGCCGTAATGACACACTGCCCGGTGTCGGTCCAGTTTTGCGTGAGAAACAACAGCTGTACAAAACTGATTTCGTTTTAAGTATTATACACACGCACGCACGCGCGCGCGTATATATATATACACACACACAACATATATATATATACACTCATATGTAATTACACACGATGTATAGTTAGAAATGAATCGCTTCTTCAAAAGAAGCGTTTAATAGAGTAGTGTCCAGCTGTTGGAATTAAGTTTACCATTAACTTTTCAAGTGTTACTTAACGATAGGTATAAGTTTCTTGCCTTTCTCTTTTTTTTATTTATTTATTTTCCGCTAATTTGTACAACGATTGAAAGAATGCGTTATACGTATACCAGTGCCAATAAGGGGGAAAGAATACCAAATAGCATAATATCGATATGCATAATACCAATGAGATAGGAGGCTAAATACGATCGATGTTCGCTTAGTTACTTAATAGAAAACCCCTCGAAGCAATTTGATTGCATTCACACGCGTATTACGAACAAGTATCGAGATTTTTCTTGGCGCTTTCTTAAAAAAAAAAAATCTCTAAGTTTGAATGCAAGTTGCCACGAATCGCCTCTTGCCCGCTTACGCTTTTCATCCGTAATATCTACTGATACGGTGAATATTCGAGTTAAATTACACGTACAGTATTTATCCAGTTTCCACCGGTAACGAACGAAGAACGAAACACATTTTATTGGTAAATATGGCACGACTGCGTTAATTGCGAAGCAATGCAATTATTTTACGTGTACATATTTCTCGGTGTACACGGGATAGTGATAAAAATACTGGTGAACGCGTTGGTTGCCACGAAGATTGTCACCCATGGTACCACGAATTTAACATAGTCGAGCTAGCGAGCGAAATGTGTAAATCGAGAAACGAAATGATTTTTGTAAACGGTCGCGATTACAATGTGCCGTACCACCACGGTGTTTCCTTTCGTGTTGGTCAACGCGTTAATCGATAGTGTTGCCAGAAACACGTGATACATATACAGGTAAATAAATCCGGAGACACGTGTTTATGAATTTTTGTCCACATCACGTTATTCGTAGTGGAGTCATAAATCATAGTCAGTATTTTACATTCATAGGATAGCATTTTTATTAACGTAGACGATTAAGAAAGTGAATGCGTCGCATCGGTTTTTCTATTCGACTCTTCCGTAATCTTCTCGTATATCTTTATAAACCGTGCCCGCGTTGCAGGTAAAACAAACACCTTCACGTATACACTTTATATACATGTAACGTACAAACACTTAACACTTATCGATTAACGATAGAGAACACCATTTTTAGTGATAAACAATTTTTCGAGTGAGCTACAAATAGCGACTGTTTAATTACTTATCAATTACTAGATCTAGTCTGCTACATCACACGATTTCCGACTTCTCATCTTTGAAACCGTGTATCGAGAGAAGAACGTTTTAGTTATAGAACATCGAGCATAATTACGAATTTCTCGTAGTTCAGCTAGAGTTTAAGCTTGACTAGTGCCTCTAGTCGTAACTTTGTCCAAATAAGTAAATCGATAGGCGAAAAGAACGATAGAATAAAACCTTTATTTACCAAGCGTTGCTCGTGTTCATTCTGCGATCACGTCCCCACGCGAATCTTCTCGTATCCATAAGTAATTAGAAGAGTCATACGGCTCGTCGAGTCAACACGAAATTAAGCGTTTTATCGCGTTCGCTGAAATTCACGATCGATATTGCGTCATTTTGCATGAACCATGTAAATAAATGAAAAATTTCCGTTTGTTTATCTTTTTTCTTTCATTTTTTTATCGCATAAAGTGCATGATCTGTGGTGTTGCTTGGTGTAAATAAACAAAGCTGTGGACGTCTTTTTTTTTTCTCCTTGTCATTTGTTGTGGCTGAGAGTGATTGAGCAGTACCGTTGTAATTTTGTGTAATTATAAAAATAATTAATTTGGTAGTTGGAAACAGCCTTAATCCTTAATCATCGTCGACGAAGAAAAGGGAGGGAAATTCAACACGATCGAGACTTCTTTTTTTCAAACTGTGTATTAATTACATTATTACTGTATGTTATATTTCTCTGTTAATTGTCTATTCATATCGCTATACCTATAGTACAGCTATCGTTATCGCGTTTCGCACACAACTCCTCCGAATTCGTTGAACTCTTTGCTCATAAATAATTAACTCGAACGATCGAATCGATCTTGAAGCTACTTCAGTCTTGATCGAGCAAGAAAACTTCTACCAAAAATGCATCTCGTTTCGAAGATTTTTCTTTACCAAGAAACCTACTCTCCGAGAAAAACAGAATGTCCTCAACCTTACTCGTCGATGCCACGGGGCAACACGAAGAAGTCACGTGCGAAACGATCCTCTCTGAATAATTACATCGATTTTTAACTTAGTAGCTATATGATATGTATCAAGTTCGCCGGATGTGTTTCTCGCCAAATATCTTTTCCTAAGTTCCTCAATTTATTACGACAATGTGTTCGAGAAATGGTCAAATCAATGTATCGGCTCTGTAAAATACCCTCAATTTCTTGCTTTTCAAAATATATGTGTTCCAAGGGGAAGACTCGAGTAATTGAAGCATCCGCGTGTAATTTCTCTCGTCAAGTCCAATCTCTTACACATGTTAGTAGGGACATTCAGTGTACTTATTTCGATGTTATTTCCTTTTTACACCTGGAAGTCTCTAATAATGCACAGCGGAAACTAGATCGCGAAAGAATATGATCAATGACAACGTTACGGGAATCGTCTAGATCGAAGAACGCGAGATATAAGTATCAATGTTAAACTCCGTTTGCGTTTATTTCGAGCACGTCTTTCACCAGATGATACAGAATATTCGATTTTTGAAAACGCAAAATCAAGAAGAGCCGCGAACACTAGGAGCCTTCAGAATTTTGGCGATTAATTCGATGGTCGAAGCGAGCGTGTGCATGATCGTAATTTCCATTCAACTCGGATGAAAATTGTCTTCCGGTTCGTTTCGGGCTTGCTATATGTTTCTAAGTTTATGATGTCGGTGGAAGGTGTCCTCGAAAAACTAGTCCAGAGTGGTTGTCGAAATGAAACGTGCAGTTAGACACGCGTTCATTCCGACCCTCACGCTTACGGTTAAATATATATGTATATATAGTCGTGCTTTATATAACAATACTGAGCTAAAGCACTCGGATGCATACGATGCCTATGTATTCTTCCCTCGGATCGAATGTCGATTAACACTTTATCGACGTTCTTAACGAACATTTATATGCTCGGTTGACAGTATTTTGTAATCTTGGTTCGATACTAAAGCACGTGGTTCGTCGATAAGGTATTAACGTACGCAAGTACGACATTATGTCTAGCTTGTGCCTCGGAAAACGAGATTCTGCTTCGTTTAGGCTTTATTTACACACTTGACCGAACCGAATCGAAGTCTCGTAATTAACTCTTTCGTTACGAAACGCCCGCTATGATATGCTTGTTAAATTTACGTCGATCTAAATTTAGAAAGTCGGACGTTAAAACATAGAAATTACTGCGATACTTGGTGAACCCCAATAAATAGGCGATAAGAAATAAATGCAAGCCGTAGACTTTTTCTTGAACTTGTTCCAAACGAAAATGTTACATCGGCAGAAGCTTCGATATCTCTTCGATCAGGTATGCAACTTGTTAATTAGGTATCCGCAGCGAGTACCCCCGCATCTATCCGGTTTAATCGTCTCTCAGTTTCAACAATATTTATACACTTATCTCACGCAGAAACGTGATTGCTTACACGATAAGAGTACCTCGACGAGTTCTATACTCGATAGACTACACGGTTACAAGTGAAACATTGTACAGATATAACACGCAACGAGCAACGATCAGCCTAGAAACAGAAAATAACGATGAACGAGAACAAGGAACAGGGCTTTTTAATTCTAATATTCACACGCGAGTTAGAGCGACAGAGGATAAGTATTTACAATGATCGCTGACGAATTTTATCGACAGCCTAATTCGATTCATACGTCGAGAGGATATTGGATATAAACGTGAGCCAGAATCACGATGAAACCAGAGAAGCAGAGCACGCGATCGCACGTAGATACACAATAATACATCGAGGTGCTCGCGTTCGAGAATACGGTGCCGTTCGAGTTTCGTCAATTTCACCTGCAATTATTCTCTCATCAAACGCTAGTCTCCCGAGTAAATCATCGATCTTCTGATTGTCGGATGTTGCCAGGGATATTCCCTGATTAGATATCAGAGCGACTATCGTCTCGTTCGACCGTTCACGTTCTGCTCGTTAAATACTCGAACGATACCGTGGAATGCTCGTTAATTACGTAGGATAAATGTTTTCGTTGAAGCGACCCCGCAGATCGTGTTGTGCCGTACTACACGTGTCAGGTATACTATGTAGATAGATAGTCACGAAAGATACCGGCGCTCTCCGCTGTACATACATCCTATTCTCGCCTCTAATAAAATACATCGATCGGATGGTATTATTTCGTTTCGCGCGTATTCTCGTCGAGAGACTCGATACTCTACGCGATATAGACGTCAATCCCGTTTCGTCGAAACCGTTCGGTCTCCCGTCGATCAGCATCGATCTTGATCGATCGTCGCTTGTAAACAAGAACATCTCAGTGATCAGGCACTTCAGAGTCGTCGTTTCGTCGATTTCTAAACGTGGATCGTTCGCGAAACACCTATTCCGTGCAATTAGTCGATTCGATGGCCAACGATATTGATCGACGGAGCATAGTTCGCGCTACCATATATCGAGGTCGTAACTCGAATCGTCGAAAATATACGTTAAATTCTCGTTCTATTACCACTCTCGAACTTCTCGCGATATCAAAGACTTTTCGAAAGATCCAATATATTGTCAATTTGAAGAATTTTCAACTACGGCAATGTAACGAGAATCTTCGTCTTGATCGATAGTTCTTTGACTTTCGAAGGATTTACGACTTCGTTGTATCATAGCAACAACTATCGAAAGGGTCTGCTTAGTAACCGAGTAAAAAATGTCCCATCTCTTGGAGCCTGGTACTCCTCGATTCTTGGTACTCCAGACCAGTTTCTCGTAATCTGATCAGCGTATCTCGCCATCCTGATTGCCTCAAGTAGGGTCGAACATCCCGGACTGTTACCACTCGTAATCGTGCTGATGGAAGGGGTTGGTGCATGGTTGTTGAGCGTGGAGATGGGTCACTATCGGCGGTGGTTTGATCAGGTCGAGTTCTCTGTCGATCACTTCATTGTAGAGCTGTGCAAAAGAAACGTTCGATCAGAAGAACAGTTTTTTCGTGAACTCGTGCAAAAGTAGACACGATACGGAAGAAGTATAAAGAGGAAAAAGGTATGTTCCAGAGAGAGTATTGCGTAGAAGTTTCAACAAACGTCGTCATCTCGTGGACGTTCAAGTTAGAATGATTTTACTAAACCTGGAAGCTCCTACGGATATACTCGTCCTCGCCTTTGCCAGTCATACCGTAATTGTATCCACCTCCACCGCCGCCTCCACCGTTCAGGAATGGATTCGTCGGGTTTACTACGCCTGGAACATCGATTCGAAATTGATACGGAACGATCTAATATCTTTGTCGATTCGCCAAAGTACTCACCTCCATTTGTACCGATGTTACTGCCGTCAGTAGGTTGCAGCCTGTTCTGATACCTCGTGTTCGATTGGTAGTCGGTATTGCCCAGCTCGTGCAGGCGCGTAGAGCTCAGGGCACGAGGAATAGCGTTGCTGGGCACACCGTGCGGTGCCAGGTGCGTCGCTTCGGCTACTTGATGCGGGTCCTCCGTTTGCGGCAAGTCCGACACGAAGCCCGTATCCTTCCTGTAGAAGTTGATGAATATGAAACCGCCCAGCACCACCAGGCAGATCAGACCGTATGCCCGAAACGTTGCGGTCGTTCCTGGAAGAAACGCGTCGATAACAATTGGGTCGCTGCGACTAACAATAGCCCATGAATATTGTAAATCGAATCGATATCTAATTTCTCGTATTCTCTTTTGTCTTTAAGGATCGATAGGAGGACTCACCGTAGGCGTCAACGAACATGCCACCTATAACGGCACCGCATCCCCTGCCAAGACCATGGTGAATACCTTGAAGAACTCCTTGGGCGCTGGTACGCAAGTGCGAAGGAGTGTTGTGCGAAATGTAGCTGCAGCACGCGGCCCACACAGCGGCATGGGTTATCCCTTGAATGAATTCGAAGGGCAGAACCCACCACGGCGTCGTCAGCCAAGATATATACAGGAAACGGAACACGTTACCGCCTAGCCCCAAGCATAACACCTGTAGATCAAGGTACGTATTATTCGTTAATGGAATCCACTCTTCTCGCGATGTACAAAATTAGTATCTCACTGTAGAAAGTTGAAACATAATTAACCCTTAATGCTCGACGTACTCGCGCAGTGTAAGCTTTCGTTTTTTACGATACGACACCCGCAGCGAAGTCTATCGACTGTTAAGGATCTTCTATTCATCGGATACGCGGTACTACCTTCACGTGACCGATCTGGCGAATCAACTTGAAGCTGAAGAAGTAGGCGAATATCTCGGATATGTGATTGATCACGGAAGCGACGCCGAACAACGTGGGCGTACCACCGTAGTCCTGAAGGTGCCAGAACAGAAAGGTGAAGATCAATCCGATACCGAAACCCATGAACCAGGCTACGAAGAGGAAGGAGGCGCACTTCAAGTCTTTGAATTGTTTCAACACGGTCACCCATTCTGGAATCTCCCGCATCGTTTGAGCGAACATTTTTGTCTACAACGATAAAAGGGACGTTTCTGGAAAAGACAGTCGGAAGACAGATATAAGAAGATCAATTTTTAGTACCTTGCCTTCCGGAGGCTGAGGCTTCAGATTTACCGCCGCTGACGAATCCTGAAGACTAGGAAGATTCAACTGCTGAGACAGTTGACTCTGCAGTTGCTCTTCTCTGGTTGGTTCGGCAGGTGGTTTAATTACTTCCTGAGCAAGGAAATCGCAATTGGAATATATCAATAATTATATTTGCAGATAGTTCTGATGCTCTACGCTATCACGTACCGGTTCCGAGGCGACCACGTCGTACTTGAAATTGATTTGCGTGGCAGTGATCAATGCTGCGCCCATCAGGACGCTGAAGATCGCGAAACAGATCGTGTAATTCTTCTCCCTGAGGTCTGGACCGCACGGATGCTCGGAAAAGGCGGTGCTGTGATCCAAAGCGATGCCGACGAAGAACATGGCCAGACCCCAGCCCAAACTGCCGAACATTCGCTGGTGACCATACCTGTGATCAGAAAAAATCCGCACCACGAGTTCAATCCAATGAATAAATTGCGAATTGACGTTAAATAAACTTGTCTCGCTGTGCATCAGATTTTGTACGCGAAACTCGTATTTACCTGTCCGCATCCTCGCCTAACAAAGTAATGACGGCCGAATCTGCCAACGTTATCGCTGGAGCGGAGAAAAACTCTCCGACTATTACCAACAGCAACAACAAAAAGAACGTTTTTTGAATGTCCTGAAACGATAATCCCAGGTTAATCTAGTCGTAAACCCAAAGAATGGTCACTGCGAACGAAATAACGATCTGTACCGGTAATCTATAGACGATGGAGCTGAAGAGTGGCTTCACCCAGCCCTTGTTCACCCGTTCGTCGTAATTCTTGGCGTAAGAAACCGTGTGAGGACTCTGCCCAGAATGTGGCACCCAAACGTAACGTTTACTCCTGAGCAGTGGCATTTCAACGTCCTCCTCGTCCTTGTCCTCGTCCTCCTCTTCTTCGTCCAGTAACGTCAGCTTACGCAGAGCCGTCATGGTAGACCAAGGCTGCTTAGACTCTAACAGAGACTGATTATCTTCGTCCTCTTCCTCGCTGACGTCTCGCTTCACCATGACTTTCGTTGGAGGCGGTTTCACCCTGGTTTTGGTACGAGTGTAAGCCTTCTTTGGTGGCATTTTATCGTCCAAGGGCTGATTCTGTAATAAAAATGCTCGATCGATACTCCCGAGAGAAATTAACGAGCATAAAACTTACATTAAGGAAACGTTTGTACTCGAGCACATCGGCTGGACGGTTTCTCCTTTGGAGGGTCTCGAAATCGATGGTTTTGGCTTCAGGATCGTCTGCATCCTCTTCGAACACTAGCTGCTTGTACTTGAGATCCTCTATAGGGCTCTCCTCGGTGGTCGTAGTATCTACCGAGACTTCTCTTCGTACTCTGTTGACAGCATCCTCGTTTTCCTTATGGATGGACGTTCGGTCATTCTTCTCGACGTTGTCCGTCGAGGAAGTCTTATTCCGTTGCAAAAGCAACTTGTTCAACGAGTCCGTCGCGCCGTCGTCTTTGCGCAGCCTCTCGAAGACGACGTTCTCGGCGACTTCCAGACATTGACTGTCGTCTCGATGATAAAATTCATCGAGATTGGTCGATCGTTTCACTATCCTAGTTTTGGGGTTTGGAGATACCAGGTACGCGGTTCTGTTTCGTACAACCACGCAAGACGTGGCCGGTGGTTGCATGAAGGCCAGAGGAAGGGTGAAAATGATCCAGCAAGATATCGAGGCTAGCAGAATCAGCTTACCTTTTTGCCATCTGCGGAAAAGTAACTGGTTAAATATTCCTTTAAGCTTGCATTAGAAATTTAGCGACTGTACACACCTGTCGGCTAACGAGCCCCAAAAGGGTGCGCTGATAAACTCGACCAAAGGCCTAATTCCCATCAAGAGACCGCATTGACTGGCGTTCATGCCCATCTGTTTGAAGTAGACTCCCATAAGCGGAAACAAAGAGCCAAAGGCCGAGTAGAAGAAGAAGTAGAAGGTTTTCACGGTGAGAAGTTCTTGATCGACGGAACCAAACAGGTACTCGATCACGTCGCTCTTGCCACGGATCTTATGCGTTGCTTCCTTCGGCTGGGGATACAAATTTGGATCGACCTCGCCTTCGGCGTGGGGGTCCACCATGGGCCGGGCGCCCGGTACCTGTGGTTATCAATATTTTTTTAAATAAAAAAAGATCCGTTCGAGTTCAAGAAAAACATAAAAAGTAATAGATGTCCTTTTCGGTAAGCAACAACGTTACAACACTTTCGAGACCAGGTCATCGAATTACTTGGAAAGAATGTCAAGAAGTTAGCTCTTCGAATAACTTTGAAAGTTCTCGAGTCGTTTAAAAAATTTGTTAAAGGAGATGTATCGAATGATCGTCACTACCTGTGGTAACGTTCTACCCGCAGCCTGTTGCGAAGTTCCCTCGACAGACCCATAATCGTAATTTTCGTGTCCATAATTCTGCATGACGAGAGTCGAGATCTGTCTTCCTCAGTCTCTTCCGTTTCGCTCCTCGTCTTCCGAGGATAGACACGCACAACTATCGTCCGACGTCCACGGATCCAATCTTCCGACCGATTCGTCGAATCGGTTCTCGCTCCGCGGATCTGCGAACAATTCCTTGGCCGAAGCGTCGTCTTGCCTTTTGGGAATCACCAGCTACAATCCTTTTAGACGAGCGTCGAATCGATGGCCAACCGTGTGGCACCTTTTGCTCGCGAAATCGATAGTCCTGACAGTGCGCCCGCGCAATCTACACCCCCTTGTTCACTCGATCGACTAGCGATGGGTGTTCGTTCGACTCTTTCTCGTTTAACTTTACCAACATTTTGCTTCCCGCGAATTCCGATAAATTTGCAGAGCTTTTAAAAACAACTGCCGTCTGTCTCAACGAATAAAAGCATTATACCTTCTTAAATTTAGCAGAATATTTTCTGAATGCACTGTACGCATCTTGCTCGCGTTGCTATCTTTATCGTGATCAAAATATTGAAGGAGAAGAATAAAGCGATTACTTCTTTTTCTTTTTATAGTAGTAAAGTGTCGATCGATAGTAACTCTAATCCTTCGCTAGGGCCGTCGTTCTTTCACTTTCTCCAACCCTTGTTCTCCCGTGATTCTTGCGCAGTTGATCGCACGCCGGATATCCAAATTCTTAGCACCGCGGGCAGATGCCACTGTTCACAACTTTACGCGCAGAATTATATCTCCTTCTCATAGTGTTAAACGCGAATTATAAGAAATTGGTGTTAAACACGAAAACATTGCTTTCGTTTGAAAGGCTGTTGCAAGCTCGATTCACGCGAGTCGAACGTAAAAAGTTTCGCTTCGCGAGTAGAATGGCCTCCTGAAGCGTGCTTAAGGAAACCTTGTACATGCTAACTAACATTCAATGTCGAAGACCTTGACCCGCGATTCTCTCTCCTCCTTTTGTTCTGAGCAAATAGGTTTGTCGACATGTCAAAATGCTTTGCAGAGTCATTGACTCTCTAACAAAGAATAAGCATCTAAAAAATAATGATCGAAATGAAAAAAATGTAACATCAAATTGGAGTAATGTACCACGTCGAGCACGCTCTGTTTGAGGGTTAATTGATGGCGAGCAAGGGAGCCCTTTGGACCCTGACACGAGCGGACAAAAGCATCGGCCTCGACGTCTATTTTCACGGTTCTGAAGTAATAAGCTACTGTTTCGAATAATTTGCATATTCTGCTTCGTAATGATACACGGTTAGGGAATGACGTATCGAGTTTATCGATATCGATAATTCGCGTGTATAACATCGCACAGCCACGGTGCGTGTGCGTGATTGCATTTTCCTTTCTTGATAATCAGTAAAGCCACCGTACGAGAAGTTCATCGGATTAACGAGCGAACTTGAATTTTTTCACAGGAATCGCTATCTGCTCGTGTACAGCTTGCTTTTTATCGACGTTAAATTAAAATTTCGCAGCGTGGAAATTTTAATCGATGTTCAGACCACTTTATATCGAATTAGTCTCACGAATAAATAAAAGATTATGTTATTACCGGCGTTTCATCGAGTATATCGTACGATAAAACGAGGACAAAAGGAGCAATAATTGTTTGGCCGATTAATCGTTATTATCTCTAGCGACGATTTCGAATAAAAGCGTTCGATTCTCTAACGAGCCAGCAATGACGCAAATCCGTCTTGGCCTTATTTCAAAGTTCATGCTATGAAAATTTACAGTTGTAACTGAAGGTGGGTCCGTCGATTTCACCTAGACCTCTTAATCTACTCTCCGCGTTTTTATTTCCGAACGATACACTGGTTGACACCGAGATAGCGGAGCGGAGAAACTTCGTACCTTGTAGGAAAGGAGTAATTATCAATAACGAAGAAATGTTCGTTTCTATAGAAAATAAATAATTTTATTCAGCAATCGCACACAATTATCGAACAGCATACGTACAAACATTCGTTTAAGCAACTCAGCGTAATTTACAAAATAAACTCATCGAACGAGTCGTATTAACTTAGGAGTTATACTATGTACAAAAGTTATGTGGTAAATGCTCCAAGGATTATCGGATTTTCCCCACCCTTTTCTCATCCTGTTATTCTTTGGTTCCAATGTCATGTTGAATAGTCGTCTAATGTCGAGGATTGATGATGTCTTTCGATATAGGCTCCATGTGGGAGTGACCTCTGAAGGAAGAAGCGGACGTCGAAGAGGGCGCAGGTTTTGGTGGCCCTTGGAACATACAGGTCTTCGCCGTTTTCAACAGACGACCGTTGCTGGCTGTTCGCCAGTACACTGTGCGAACTGCCTGCTTTCCAGCGACGTAGCTTACTGCTCCACCGATCAACATCTGGAAATAAAATCAAGTTTTTAATGATCAGGTTAGAGGCATATATTTTAGATGAACATCGATTTAAGGATGTAGGCTATCTCTCAGACAATTGTACTTTCAGATATTCCATAGAGGAAATTGACCCTTCATATACTAACAGAAAGGAAGGGACACGATGATCTCAAGCCGAGGTACGCAATTTAAGTGTTAATTCTACGAAAAGTAAGAGTCTGTAGATTCCAATGAATCTTTGATTATATTTAATTCACACGTTCATATTTTTCAGGGACAATTGCGAACTACGAAAGATTTACCGAATAAAGACAATGCCTCAGAATCACAAAGGATTAACTTGGACTTTGGCGATAAAGCGTGCGTATCGGAATAAAAGCACTTACCTTTGTTTTATTGTTGAATTGATTATGTCGACGACGAGTGTAGTTTGAATAGAATTGTAGAATTCTATGTTGTTGGTTAAAGTTGATGGTAAAACGAGAAGTTTCTCGTTGTTAGAAAATTGGTCTACCTTGCCTCGCAGTTCTGCGAGGAGAAAAGCTGAACTGACGAATGGGTCTCCTTCCGTGGATAATTTATACGATAATGTCGACGTCACGGGATTGGTGATAAGGAGACGATCACGTCATTCACGGATTCATCGTATTGACGAGCGGTACATGGGGCCGATGGTGGTAGGGGCGGAAGATCTTTCAAAACGCGTCAAAAGCGAACATTTAGATACGGTTTTCCCGTCCTCTTCTTTCCTCCTACGTTTCAACGAATCCTTATCTAATGTGGAAAGTTCTTTCGGGAGGAACCAGACCTTGATATCCAAACCTTGTTTATGTCCTTTTATCGTTATCATTTTTCCTGAAAATTGCAAAACCAACTATCTATCGCGACCGTCGCTAAGCTTTTCTTTGATCAGGTGATCTAAATTGAGTTAACAAGCGTAATTGACCTCGAGAAATATCACTCTTTTCGATTGTGGAATGTTTTCAATAACGCTCCGTTTTTTAAGCTTCTCGTCGATATAAATAAAAACAAAGTGACGAAAAAGCTGCATGATGAACAAAATCCAAATAAGTAAATGAATAAATAAATAATGTTTGTAACGCAATAATCAAGATTAAGTAATGTATGTGGTGCGCGTGTATGTGGAAAATAATGCGTAAGTCGCGCTGACATGTGTTATTAGCGTTGATATCGTCGAGAAAAAAGTAACTCCACCGACTAGGGACGATAACGTTTCGCATCATTTAGATGTACTTTGTGTCTGACGGCAGCTCTGACACTTGTTTATGATTGTTTGCGATGTCAAACGTGTCCCGAGGTACACGACCTTCGAATCACCGAGTTGACCTAAACTTTGCACGGTTTTTATTCGAATCTTAGATGCACGGCGTATCAGTAATTACGTATACCGTTCTTAACTTTTACACGTGGCAACATTAAATATTGTTCAAAATGAACAGAACACCGGTCTTCACCAGTTTCAGCAGAAAATTCCATGAAGAACGCGTTGCCAGATTGTCTACCACCATATCTACGTCTCTTGCACGCGTGCAAATGCGCCTCTTCAAAGCTCATATCAAATAAGGAAAGATGGTTCTAATATTAAGTCAACCATTAGGAACACGGGTACAATGAGATTCTATAATATAGGTGAAATTAATTTTAGGTTGTCCATGAATACTCGGCGATGAAAAGAAAGTACCAACAACGGAGAATTATCGATGGAAAATTTGTTGGCAAACCACGCGAAACGGGTTCACCGAGGGCGTGTGACGCAAATTGCGCGAAAGCCGCGTGGATTCACGTGAAACTTTCGTGCCATCGAAGAGACGAACGGTATAGAAACGACGTGATCGTGATAGGCGATCTTCGATTCTGATACGAAACGCAGTTGTCTGTCTCTGCTCTTCCTTCTCCTCCATCTCTTCTTTCGTTAACATTTACTCGAGTACCCTCGATAGCGTTCGCACATTCTGCGTCTAAACGTGCTTCAAAACGATAAATTATTAACGCGAAGACTAGTCTTGTTTAGTAGTTTACTCAAGGTACCATAGTAAAATCAATTAAACGGTTATAATACAGGATATGCAAACTTTCAACATGTATTAAGAGGGACAAAAGTCAATTTATTTCTATATTTATATTTGGTACTTCAGATGGTATTTTCCAGCTTAGGTAATCTTTTATCAGGGCAAATATTTCTTGCAATTAACTCTATTTTCGATCACTGCTCGATAACGGGTAATCAAGCTATAATTATTCCTCAAGAACAAAGGTGGTAATGCGTCGTTATCATTAAGAATTACTGGGTACACTTTCTTATCAGGAGCACGCTGTTACATGAATAGTACAAGGGTATCTTGATCTTCAATAATTTGAATCATGCAGACTTTTATAAATTCCAAACAAAAGATACGTGACTCTTTATCAATGCTTCGTGTATTCATGTCGAGTATGATTAACGAAGAACGGTGCCACGGAGTCTGCCGTTCGCTGCTATCATTTATTTGATACTGACTCTCTTTTATCTCGTACGACCGTCGTTTCTTCTTTTCTTCCTGTAAGGTGAAAATAATACAACTAGTGAATATTTCTTTGCTCCGAATTTTCTAAATCATGAAGTAAAAAACGAAGTGATTAGAAAATTAGAAGCTCTAACGAAATCATGAGGCTCGTACATCTCTCCACCTCTTTGTAATCGTCTATCAAAGCTGCCACGTTCTCGAGAGCATCTTGGAACGTGCTTTCCTCCATACCTTCCCCTATGTAATGGTGAACGAAAGCTTTCTTTCGGTACATTAAATCAAATTTACGAGCCAGCAATCCCCAACCCTGTCGGATAGCGGTGTTGTTGCTGAGCATCGCCACTGTTCTTTTTGATTTTGCTAAGTCTCCGCCGGGAACCGTGGTGGTCGGTTGATAATTAATTCCTACCTGAAAATTTTCATTTTTATCGGTTCCCTTGTAGCGTGATTGCTGGCAGTATTCCTAGAAGAAACTATCCGTGAAACTACCATGTCGTTTCGCGTCACTTTTACTCACGAATCACGCAACGTATCTAGACAAACTCGTTACATCATCCATTGCCAAAGTTCAGTCCCTGTATTTACAGTTCATCGTTCTAGCCAAAATATGTATGGGCTCATTATCTAACAAACGTACGTCAATAGTCTAGCAAAACGGTGCATCATTCCGTGATGATCCACGAGCCGTGATCGTGATAAATCTTTGTGCGACGTATACAAAGAAATAGAAACGTCATCGCTGTTACTTGAAAAAACGAGTAAGTTACCTTGAACCCGGTCGGACTCCAGCTGACAAAACGAATCGACTTCTTTCCTTTCAACGACGCGATCGCCCTACTTACGTCATTTGGATTTACGTCTCCGCGGTACAGCAGACAACAACTCATGTAAGCTCCTGTGCGTAGATCACATTTGACCATCTACAAATCGATCAGGAGAGTCACGAATAAATTCTACGAGTGGAACACTAGTCAGCACCTGGTTAGCTGGGTCGAAACACTCGTACGTGATTTGCTGAGTGTTAATGTCGCAGTGCGCGGCTTTCGCAGGGGAAATCAACGGAGAATACGTAGTCAGGGCGAAGTGAATCCTCGAATAGGGTACCAGATTTGTTTGAAGTTCTTGCAAGCTCAGATTCACGGCTCCCTCGAACCTCATCGAGGCTGTAACGCTCGAAATCACTTGAGCCTGCAGTCGATTCAGATTCGTGTACGTTGGATTGTTCACATCCAAATTTCTGTGAAGGGAGGAGGTTCAAAAGCTGTTGACGGATCTAGTTTTCTCGTTACGATTTAGGGAAAGATATGTCTTAGTATTTGTTTAGACCTTGCGCAAATATTGTATAAGGCCTCGTTGTCTACGAGAAAGGAGCAGTCCACGTTATCTAGACTACCGACTGTGGTGAAAACCGAGTTGTAAGGTTCCACGATAACAGTGGAGATGTTAGGAGATGGATAGATGGCAAATTCGAAAGTTATTGTCTTAGGGTAATCGCGCGATAGACGCTGCAGCAGTAACGTGGCAAAACCACTGCCGGTTCCGCCGCTAAACGATCTGTAAAACAAGATATGATCGTAGTACATCAAGGTATAGTTAGAAAGACCAAACGGTTTACCTGAACACGATGAATCCGCAAGGTCTAGAACATGATTCCCATAGTTTGCAAACGCGATGCAACACGAGATCGATTGCCTCTTTACCTATGGTATGGTAGCCTCTCGCATAATTGTTTGACGCGTCCTCTTTTCCACTGATCAACGAGTCCGGAGAAAACAAACGTTTGTAGGAACCAGTTCGAATCTCGTCGATCACCGTTGGTTCTAGATCGACGATCAATGTCCGTGGCGTCAACTTTCTCGCCTGAACGCCACAGGAAACCCCCCAACGTAAGAGGCAGTCGCGTAAAAATATTGTAAAGCAAACGCAGCAAAGTTAGACGTAATAAAAAGACGCGTTTATTTCTTGCTCACTTGTGTTTCCGTAAAAAATGTACAAAACGAACTGTCTATGGGGTAATAACCTTGTTGAATGCAGCCGTTTGGAGCTACACCGTGTTCCAAGCAGAATAATTCCCAACAAGCATTCGCTAGTTGCGTACCAGCCTGTCCTATAAAAATTGTTATTATTTCACCTGATTTCTCCATGGTATAACCATGTTCCAAATTATCAATTTCTTGTAAATTTCCATTTGCGGTGAAGCAATTTCATGATTCGAATATTACAGTAAAAGATTACGCGTTAAATTTTCTCCCATTTCTTTACATTTTTTTTTCCTTTATTTTTTACGAATCATTTTTATATAAATTTATCCGAACGATGGGTCTAAACGATATTGAATGTGTTCATTTATCGACGAGAGCGTCAAATTTTTTGTAATTTTCGATAACGTGAAAAAGTAACGCTAAAGAAATGTACCACTGACTGGCAATCTTCTTGGGACTTACAGTAATAAATCACAGTATTTGTTCAATAGATGTTTATTGTACAATAGAACACAATATATAATAAAATTTGTCAAACGCATTTTATATACCTAATAATCTTTAAACGAATTAACACATAATTGTACTGAAATTACAATTAACAACAGTTATATACAAGTTTATATCGTCTCTATAATTCTCACGGTAGAGGTATCCTACTCTTTTTACCTCTGTCTACTAACGCTCGAATGGCAGTATCTCCATCTACTATTCATTCGCTTCATTAATATATTATTCACAAACGTAGATGCATAATCTTTCAAAGTCTCGCTTACGAACAAAACGAATACGCATTACGCTACATAAGTTGATATGTATTTTGATCCCTTCGAATGAATCGGTAAAATCACTAACACGTATCGAGGTTAAATATACTAGAGTAAGTTTTTTCTTTCTTTTGTACGATACAAAACGTTGATTGTAATATACTTGAACTTTAAAATCATGTTTAGCAAGAGACTAAATAGTGTAACGATTCTTGTGTTAACTTTTGTACTGTTACGAACTTGGATCCTTGGATTTTATATACAATGTTCGGGTCCTGCATCGGAGAAGACTCGAACGCATCGAACGCCTGTTTGAAGATGTTCTACGATGACGTAAAGTCAAAAAGAGGCATCTCAAGTGGCGTTAAAGGTGGCAAAGGTGCGAGTCGCAACGAGTGCGCATTATCTAACCTGGTTTCATCGTTTGGGTTAACGGATGTTGCACGAAGCTGTTCGGTTAGCTGACGCACTTCCGCCTCTTTGGATTCTAACTGGCTTAGTAAGCTACCAACGAGACAACGTAATTGACAATTCACGGTTTTCAGCTCTTCTATAACTGTACCCGTGTCTTTTGGATGCTTGAAAGCTTTATTTTCGTTATTTGGCAAGAAAATTAAACTCAACAAGCTATCTTGTTCTTCGATCGTTCTATAGATAGCTTGACGCAAAGATCCATCAAACTTATCCAATGTCAATTCTCCTGTGTCTTTTTCTAGCTGTTTTGGTGCCTGCTTGCAAAGAATTTCTTTTTGTTGATTTTCCAAAGTAGTCTTGTATTCTTCGTATTGTGCCTGTTTCATTCTACAAAATGTTTGTTAAATCAATAACATATGTTTTATAGTGAACTATAAGTTGTTGTTCTTACTTACCTAACTACAGCAGCTTGCCTTTTATGGTAATCGCGTTGAAGTGCTAGAGATTCTAAAGTAATTAGCGAATGAAAAGAAGTAATGATGGATGGAGGAGTTTGAGTAGACAAATTAGAAGTTTTTAAATGAACGAAACCAGATTCGAGTTGAGAGTGTGCTTCTGCCAACAGACTAGCAACTGTTTCGTGGCACTTGGCTGCTTCTTCGAAACGTCCTTCGTGTAATAATGCCTCTGCCCTCCTCTGTCTTTCGTGTGCCTTTGATAAAAAAATATATCAGTACTGATGCAAATTAGAGTTCATGTAAATAATGAAAAAAAAAAAAAAAACAGTAGCTTAAAAGTTAACGACTGACATTCGACGACTTCATAACAATACATATGACGTAGCTCGCACAGTTGCATGTTTTTTTCCAAAGCTGAATCGTTTAATTCGTATAGAGAAAAGCAGTTGATTACTACTACTCGCATCATGCGTAAATTATCAACGAAAAAATTATTATTAGTCACTCATAACGATAAGGCATTAAAAAACACAAGGTAACACTTACCGCGTTCAGGATTGAAGTCTCCATAGTTGATCAGCTGATCGAGTGACAGAATAAAAACAGAGAGGCAACATGTGGGTTAGTTTCTGGTGGTTAACGACGCATGTACCGATCGAACTTAAAAATCTTTCTGGCACCGATACATAGATGCAGAAGTGGAGAATGTAAATTTAAAATAGTGCACCCACGTAATACATCTTTGTATAAATTGATGTAGAAAACTTTATGGGTCCGAAATGGACAAGTTTGTTTCGGATTTCCCTCTCTCGGTATCCATCCTAGATCTTACATTTCTTGGGAAATCGTATTTACCGACATTTACCGACACATAGTAGAGTGTTCAACCACATTTGTCATTGTATTCGGGACACACGTATATGAAATTGGTAAACAGGCAGAGGGGGAAGACCGGGAACAAAGTTGGTTATTTTCAGTCTCTAATCTCCAGTCTCCAGCCTATACCATTAAATTTGATTAACATTCCAGATATGAAGTGAGAGTAATTCTTTGATATTTTTGCAATGTTTGATAAGATAAACTCGTCGCGATAAGAGTAATCAGAATTCGAAATATATAGAACAAGGTGGTTGAATTTTAGGCGCGTGCAATTACATGCACATTGTAGGTGAGTGTATTAAATTTAATTTTTATTGCATCGTATTGAAATAATATTATATATTTTTGAAAGTGAACTAAATAGTATTGTATAATTTTAGCATATTGCAAGTTACCAAGAAACACTTTAAAGCCTTCAATATGGCACAAAGATCTGGTGCAGTTAAGTTAGCTAAACTTCGCGAATTAATGGAAGTTGTTCAAGTAGGTGGCATTAAGGGAAAGAGTATTCAAGCTTTAATTGTAAATTCAGACGATGCTCATCAGTCAGAATATTTAAGAGAACGAGATAAAAGGATCCGTTTCATAAGCGGTTTTACTGGTTCTTTTGGTACTGCCATTATTACACGAAACAAAGCTTTGTTATGGACAGATGGAAGATACTATGTACAAGCTTCAGCAGAATTTGATCCACCAGAAGAATGGACGCTTATGAAAGAAGGTTCATTGGATACACCAACAAGAGCTGCATGGTTGGTTTCTAATTTACCTCCTAAATCTACAGTTGGTGCTGATTCTAACTTAATGAGCTATACAGAGTGGGCTGTCTTACATACCAGTTTAACTGCTGCTGGTCACTGTTTGATGCCTCTTCAAGAGAACTTAATTGATAAGGTATGGGGTAACGAACAACCATCTGCTGCAGGTAACATTATTCTACCTCAACCAATGCAATTTTCTGGATGCACTTCAGGAAAGAAAATTGAATTATGTAGAGAGGCAATGAATAAACAGAAAGCAAAAGTGCTTGTAATCACAGCTTTGGATGAAGTAGCATATATTTTAAATTTGAGAGGATCCGATATACCTTACAATCCTGTTTTCTTTGCATATGTCATTCTTACCTTAAATGATTTGCATTTATTCATTGACAAAAGTAAACTGAGCGAGAAGGCTCAACAACAGCTGGTAAATGAAGAAGTAAATGTTGTTTATCATTCTTATGAAGATATACATAATTTTTTGAGAGAAGTAGCAAGCTCCTGCACAAATGATGAAAAGATATGGATAAGCAATGGTTCTAGTTATGCTTTACATGCCGACTGTGGTGAAGTAAAGAAACATACTGCTATTACTCCCATAAATATTATGAAAGCTATAAAAAATAATGTTGAAATAGAAGGAATGAAAGCAGCTCACGTACGAGACGCGGTTGCGCTTGTAAAATATTTTGCTTGGTTGGAAGATCAAATCATAAATAAGAAGCAAACTGTTACAGAAATATCTGGAGCAACTCAACTTGAACAGTTTAGGAAGTAAGAAAATTTGCATGCAAAATTATGAAATCGGAATATAATAAAAATTAGTTACACGTGTGTTATCTGAAAGGGAACAGGAACATTTTATGGGACTTAGCTTTCCTACAATATCTTCAGTTGGGCCTCATGGAGCAATAATCCATTACCTGCCAACACCAAAGACAGATGTACCAATTACAGACAAGGAACTTTATCTGTGCGATTCTGGCGCACAATACCAAGATGGCACTACAGATGTTACGAGAACGTTGCACTTTGGTGACCCTACGAATTTCGAACGCGAATGTTTTACGAGAGTATTCAAGGGTCAGTGCCGACTTTCATCCAGTATTTTCCCTTTAATGATACAAGGAAATTATCTGGACACGCTTGCGCGTGAAAATTTATGGAGCGTTGGGTATAAAGATATAATTCTTTTTTGCATATAAAATGGAAAATATTTGATTTATTCGTATTCAAATGTATAATTACAGTCTTAATTATCTTCATGGTACGGGACATGGAGTAGGTTCGTATTTAAATGTTCATGAAGAACCTATTGGTATTTCTTGGAGACCATATCCTGATGATCCAGGTTTACAACCCGGCATGTTTCTTTCAAACGGTATGAAGTACAAGAATGATCAACTTTTTAATTACATACGCTATCTATATTAATATAATCGGTAATGTTATTAGAGCCAGGATACTACGAGGATGAAAAGTTTGGCATTAGACTGGAAAATATAGAATTAGTAGTAAAGGCAAATACACCCTATAATCACAAAAATCGTGGCTTTCTTACTTTTGAAACCGTTACGTTGGTGCCTATACACACTAAGCTACTTGATCTATCCTTATTAACAGATAATGAGGTATGCATTCGATTTGTTTCTTATATTTTAATTATCTTAAAACAACTAATTATAACTTTTTTTCAGATCGAGTATTTAAACAATTATCATCAAAGATGTTTGAATACTCTGAGGCCTCTATTACAAGGACCAGAAAACGTTCAAGCACTCAAATGGTTGGAAAGAGAAACTCGACCTATCTCGAAGTAACTATGAATTTAAAAGAATAAGTTCTAACAAATTGCATTTCTTATTTTTTACAATTACAATACATAATAAACTGTTTATATAATTACTTTCGTTGCAACTAATTCTATATTTTTTAACAACTATTTCATCGTTCTAATCACGTCGGTAACTCAATGTACTGGTTCTATTATGCGAAAGTGAACATAAAATTCTATCGAAAATCACCAAAACAACCATGGTGGTTGATGCAACTTATCTAAAGAAGCGTAAGTTAAATTCACTGGGATGTTGATTAAGGCAAAAGGTTGATTCAAACGTTGTAAAGTTTGCCGGATCATTTTACCATTCTTACCGAGCAAAAATCCAGCAGGAATGTTTACTGTTTTTGACGTCGGGATAGTATCGTCGCGTATCATGTCTACATAATAATATTCTGCCCATAGTGGACTTGTACTGGATTCTTCTATGGCAGAAGAATGATAATCTGCAATAATTACAGCTTTTGCTCCAGCCTCTTCTGCCATTAAACTTTTAGCAAAAAAGCTACAGTCCCCTCTTTCAACCAATGCTATTCTACCCTTTAATTCCTTGGCATTTTTTGCTATCTGGCATCCATGAGGAGGATCAGTTGGAACCAAAGGAATTCTTTCTTCCAAGAAACTTGCATTCTAAACACGTTATGTATAATATACCAAATAAATATTTAAATCAATTATACTTGTCTTCATTTTAAAGATACTTACAAAAGGAGCTCCAAAATCTCTAGCAGGTCTCAGTTTATACGTGTACTCCAATTCAGGGGGATGTATAATTTCAAAAAATACATCTGAGCCAATACTTGTATCGATAAAGGATCCTCTTGTTTTAAACGTAAACGAATGTCCTGATATATATTTAGTTGCAAAGAAATTAGTCGCTGTACATTTATGACAGTGTATCTATAACCTAAGTTCTCGGTTTTCCACTAACCTCCGTCAATTCCATTTGATACTTTAACATTCAGGGAAACAAGAACGAAGAAATAATTAACAAATTTCATTCCTTGCATTTGCATTGTAATATTTACATCGTTCTTAATAACATTACTGCATATGTCAAGAAATACAACTTTCTGACATAACAATCGAGCTATCGCTTCTTATACCACGGATCAGGTACAGAAGAGACTATCATTTTCACGAACCTCAAGGTATGTTGCTAGCGGTGAAAGGTAGGTACTAATAGAACTACATACGCAATAAAATATTTAAAGAATTGTCAGCAATGCATTATTTACATGGTTCGATCATAAAAGTTCATAAATAATGTTCGGGTAATGAGTAATTAATTATTTTGTTGCAGCCTTGCGATACGTACATGAGCCGCCCATGTCAAAGAGCCGCCAATGTCAATTCTACTGCACATGCAAAGTGCAATATTTTGGCACTTTGACGACGTAGTATGGTTCCTGAGGCATTTAGAAACAAATTTCTATTAGGGTTTGATGCGTTTTGATGGCTAATAAAGCCAGGAAATCAATTTTTGTCGGATTCGGTCGAAAACGGTACAGGTGGCGCCATCTAGCGGCGAGCGGCGGAACTACGAAAAACTGAACTACGAAAAACTAAAATTTCGATTTTTTCGAAAACTAGGGATTTTTTCGAAATTCTGAGATATACAAATTGTTCCTTGTCGCCTACGGAATCGAACGAATATAATTATGGCCTGCTAGGACCATAATTAAAGAAAATAGAAAAATAGCCCATTTCATGGACTAAAAAATTGGCGTCCATCTAGCGGTGAAAGTTGGAACTACAAAAATATAAAAATGCGATTTTCTCGAAAATTAGCGAATCAAAAACTAGGGACTTTTCCGAAATTCTGAGATATACAAATTGCTCCTTATGGCCTAAGGAATCGAACGAATATAATTAACGCCTGCTAGGACCATTATTAAAGAAAATAGAAAAATAGCCCATTTCATGGACTAAAAAATTGGCGTCCATCTAGCGGTGAAAGTTGGAACTACAAAAATATAAAAATGCGATTTTCTCGAAAATTAGCGAA